GGGATCTAGTCCAGCCTCTCTCAACCCGTGGGTCCCAACCCAAAAGTGGATCTCAGGAAGATATGAACAAACTTTAAAAGTTTAAACATGGATTCTCCTTTAAAGGAGAAAAACCTGTGGCAAACCATGGCTTTTCACTTGCGGGCGGGCCGTGTTCCAGCCTGTGAGCCCCCTGTTGCCCCAAACACTCCCCCATTGCCCCACACACCCATCCCCTGCCCTGGGGTGGGAGGTAGGGCATCGGGAGTGAGGGGCACGGGGTTGGGATGGGCCACCCATGTTTATAAATGGGTCCTGGCGCAGAAAAGGTTGAGAACCACTGATCTCATGGGCGACTGGTGTCACCTTAGGGGGGCCCCAGCCACCAGTCAGCAATGGGGGGGAGGGGGTCCCCCTGCAGCCAACATGCTTCACCGTATGTTACAGGGATCTGGATTTTCCCATTTGCCGCAGAACAACATGGAAAAAAACAGACTTTCTCTTTTAAAGGAGAAAAACATGGGAAACGGCAGGTTTCCCCTTTCAGGCTGGCAGCGGTTCCAGCCTGCAGGGGGCTGCTTGGGGCTGGGGGGAGCGGGAGGAGGACGATCAGGCAGTGGGTGCTATGTGCGTGTGCGCGTGCACATGTACGGGGCAGCCAGGCAGCGTGGAGAGCAGCTCCCACAGCTCCCCACAGGTAAGTCCATGGGGGGGCTTAGACAATGCATCATGGGGTAGGGGGAGCACACGCTATGTGGTGGGGGGCATGTGCCCCCCAGACTTGTGCACCCACAGCAGGCATGGGACTGCAGCCTGGCTGGACCGGCGTAGGCAGAAGCCTCCTCTGAGGCCCAGCAGACAGCACCCGGTGCATGAGAGTGGAGCAGGGCAGTAAAACTCATTGCTGCCACTGCTGCTGCCAGGATCCCTGTGCCAGCCATGCCACCAGCAATGTGAGGAATAATGACCTGGGGTAGAGGGCATGCTGTCCTCGCCGCTTCCCACCACCAGCCACTCTCATACTAGGCCACAGCTTTACCCTGCCACCATGGCCCAGCCACCACTGCCACTCCCCTCAGGCCATGGCTCTACTGCGGAGGGGAGGTGGGCTGGTGGGCAGCACGGGCGCCATGGAGACAGCTCCTGCCCATGCTGGTCCAGCCAGGCTGCATCCCCGTGCCCACTGTGAGCGCACAAATCTGGGGGGATACATGCCCTGCCATGCCCCACACATGGGGAGTCTGGGGCCTGAGGGTGAAGGGCAGCAAATCAGGAGTAAGGGCACTGGCAGGGCCAGGGGCCTATGAGTCAGGAGTGAGGGGCTACGGGTTGGGAGTGAGGGGCACCACCAGGTCAGTTTAAAGTATTTTTTCAAATTCCACAATGATGAATGTCACTTGGGAGTGACGGAGGGCCATATGTTGATACTGCTGTTAATGTTTTCCTGTTGACATTGATTTCTGTCTTTAAAATTAAGACTGTTGAGCTGCTTTAACTTGTAGCATGTAATAAGTATTTTGGAGCTAAAATACTTGTGTGTTTTCTACTTAAACAATTTACTGGATCAGGACAGGCCATCTATGGGTCCTGGTACAAAAAAGGTTAAGAATCACTGGTCTAACTCCATCCTCTTTGAAACCAGCCTTCAGGTAGTTGAAGGCTGCTATTAAATCCCCTCTCAGTCATCTCTTCCACAGACTAAATAAGCCCAGATCCCTCAACCTCTCCTCATAAGACATGTGCCCCAGCCCCCTCACCATTTTCATTGCCCTCTGCTGGATTTGGACCAATTGGTCCATATCCTTTCTGTGGTGGGAGGCCTAAAACTGGCCACAGTACTCCAGATGTGGCCTCACCAGTGCTGAATGGAGGGGAAGAATCACCTCCCTCAATCTGCTGGCAATGCTCTTACCAGTGCAGCCCGCTATGCTGTTAGCCTTCTTGGCAACAAGGCTGCTGGCTCATATTCAGCTTATTATCCACTGTAACCTCCAGGTCCTTTTCTGCCGAGCTGCTGCCCAGCCAAGCAGTCTGCAGCCTGTACTGGTGCATGGGGCTGCTCTGTCCAACATGCAGGACGTTACACTTGTCCTTATTAAACTTCATGAGATTTATTTTGGTCCTCCAATTTGTCCAGCTCTCTCTGAATCCTAGTCCTTGTCATGATGGCACCCCAAATAGCATCCTTCTCTGGGCTTCTGGCACCTGGGACACATTCTACCGAGTTACACAGGTCTAAATCAAGAACAGTTCCTTTGTAGGGTGTTGTTAAGCCTCCCTCAGGGGCATGGGGGGTTGGCTAGAGCCAAGGCTGGGGACTTTGACTGGGAAGTGCTGATGCTCTTGATGAGACCAAAGCCAGATATTCCTGGCTAGACAGTCTTTCCCCTCCACTCAAGGTCAGACCAATCATGAGATTTGGGTTGTGGAAAGAACTTTACCCCATGGTCAGATTGGTATGAACTCTTGAGGGTTTAGCCTCCCTCTGTAGCAGAGGGTGTGGCCCTCTACCCAGGATGTCTTGAACTTACATTGACATTTCATAGAAGCCGGACATTGGCTGCCATGTTTCCCCTGCTTTACTTATGGCCGTTAGCTCTGTGTTGTGTCTGGGTTGAGGGGAATCTTATGTAGAGTTTAGATTATGCATTGTATAAATGGTTTGGATAGTGCTGATCCTGCCTCAGACAGGGTTTTGGACTTAGGTGACCTCTGGAGGTGTATTCCATCCCTACTTCTGTCATAGACTATGACTATGAAGTCACTGAGAAGTATATTGGCCTTAATGGGGCCTGATGTGTGTCCACGAGGCCTACAACTACAGTTAATGTGCCGTACCACACATTTGTACATGTGGATCTCATGCTGAGTTTTCTGAAAATATGGAATGTTTAGATTTCCTAGATAGGCCTGAGAAATACAATATGTATCCACAGCTGAATCCATAGTACTTCCCCAAAATTCAGGGAGAAGAGGGTTTGGAGTTAAGTGTCCAGGTTCAGGCCTATTTCTAACAATAATACTGCACTTTCAATAATGTCTTACATACCTGTAGCCAAAAAATAAATCTATAAATTACATGTATACGGCCCCACAGAAAAGCATTTGGAGTGGGAAGATGGGATAACTGTTTTACTGGACAACTGCTGGATATAAGATGGACTTTTGTCTAATAGGTTAAAAATGCTAGTAATAGCTGCAATGAACATGTTACTCAAGTGCTCCGATTACTACTCAGATTCACCACTCACCACCAGATACAGAATCCAGTTCAAGATCTCTGTCCTTATAGTCAAACCCCTCTAGGGAATTGATCCAAGCTACCTGACACACACAGCTTCTCTCTCAGCAACCACTGATAATTACATTTCACTGGAACAATGAAACTCAGTTAATAGAGGAAGACTTATAAATGCAGGGGATGAACTTTCAGAGATGGAAGATTAAGACGGTGGAATTCACTTGTGCAGAAGAGGAGGATGAGCAGAGACCTCCCCCTTTTCAGAACTAGATACAAATTTCATTTCTTCAACTTTGCTTTCCCTCAATATTTCTTCCCACGCAGACACACAAAGCACCCACTCACTCACATGCAAAAACATAAACAAGCAAACAAACAAAATTCCTTGTAACTGAACTAGTTATTTATCCTATACACTGAAAGGAAGGAAGAGAGCTTATTACTTTATTAAATAGTGGAGAGGCTCTTCATTTTCAGCTTGGGGAGTTTTAGAGCTACACAAAAGGGCTTAGTTGATGAGTTGAGAGGCATTTCCTATTCCGTCAAATACACGAGACTGTCAAGATTTATACTGTCAGAATGATAAGGATATCCTAAATACCACCTCACGTTTTGAGAGCTTCAAGTCCCACTCTCTGAGACTATTAAATCCAGACTGGAAACCAAAAACAAATGGAGGAAGGAGGGAACCTTCTGTAACAGACAAACTAAACAACCTAATAGGTCAACTCTACATTTTTTTCCATTCTGGAGGTTTTTAAAGCACTTTATAAAATATCTATGAACAGTGCCAAGGAAATTCTGTTCCCTCTGATGTGGAGGACGAAGACCAACAAAGGTGCAATGTTTAGGAAGGACAGCAAGGAGAACCATGGCTCCAAAAGAAACAAATCTTTAAAAACAGGTCTGTAAGGACATTAATGGGTCTATTGAAGTTTTGAAGTTTATTCCATTCCTCCACCATACTCCTGAATTATTGAGTCTTTTTCCTCTTTATTTTCGCTTGTCCAACTCCTCCCCAGACTGTTTCTCATTTTTCCTAACTCGCCCTAAATTTCACCCCTTTTAGAATGGATACAATTTGAAAGTCATAAGCAGGGACATGCAGGACTTAAAATAAGACTGCATAACTCCAATGAGATAAGTAAGAAACTAGAAATTTTTGGAGGGGCCAGCTAAAGAAGCCTAAATACTGGGTGCCTCTATATGAGACACTAACTGAGCAGTAGCCCAATTTTACTGCACAGTAGCGTGCAGGGCAAAACCCGTGCTAATACACTACTACACAGTAGTATTAGGCTACTGCACCGTTAGGATCACTAAAAAGCCATGCACCAGCACTACTGTGCAGTATTGCCAATTACTGCACATTGATATAGTACTTGGTTATCCAAGTACTAAACTTAATGCGCAGTAACTACAGCTCATTAATGAATACGTAGACACACTCACTTCACACAAAAATAGACTGACAGAACCTGCCTTTCTCA